TTTACAAAAATGATCCCCTGTATTCTACAAATGACATGCTTCACACTGAAATATAGTTAAAATTAAAATGCCGTTGAAATAAATGTTATGTCTAAGTTAGTAATCTAAAAAAGTCGACCTTTTAAGTTAATTTTGTCTGCTTCTAATTTAGATGTTAAATCAATGCTTGGTTAAGTTGTAAAGACTTATTTCCATTCTGGTTACATATTGCTTTTTAAACATTTGTTAAAATGCACTGAAATCTCCTGCATCCCTTGATCTTATGACTTCCTCACTTGTGTATAGCCTATGTCATGTTTCTCCAATCCCGGTTCTTGAGTGCAGTCCAAGTCTCTATCTGATTCAGAGCTCAGAATAGGCAGACAGACAAAGCCCTGAAAGGGGGTCTGGTCCCTTGACTCCCCTGGCCCTTTGTTCAAACTGGGGCTGTGATGTACACGCTGTTTTAGAAAGGGTCCTTTTCAGCTAGGCCGTAAGGTGATCCAGGGCCTTTCCTAGCCAGGGTGTGCCCCGGGCGTCTTTGGTTTACCTGCGGGACCAGGAGGGGTGGGGTGGGGTGTGCTGGTCCTCCATGCCAGGTAGTGGTGGATAAGTTGGAAAAGAGGAAAGCAGCTGGTCACTGAACGAGGGAGAGAGAGAGACCTAGAGAAGGGAGGGTAGTGATGGAAGGATGGATGTAAGGTGAGAACGCTGAGAAAGGACAAATAAACAAAGGTGGTGATGAGGGTCTGAGGTGAATTAATTGTATCAAGCTCTTTTCTCTTTGGCGACGGTCTCCAGAGACAGTGGCACAGAGAACAGTAGACAGTGGATACAAAATTAGACTATTGACCAGATTAGAGAGAGCTGCAGCTCTTTAAGAGCCAACCAGCTGCCTATCACATACTTTTTAATGGGTCCTTTACATCTAATGAACAAATTATTGTTGAGCTGTTCTTCTACTTTGAACCAATGTAGATTTAGTGATGTCATGTTCCCACAGTAGATACAATTAAATTAGGTTGCAAATATTTGTTTTAAACATTTTAAAACAACTACACTAAACACTGGATTAGATTAGATAGGCAGACAGGCAAGCTGGCAGGTAGTACAAAAATGGTGCCATCCATTGATAGCTGCATGGCAATCCATCGACAAGTAGAAAAAAAAAATAAAAAAAAATAATAATAATAATAATCTTTATTTGTAGAGCACTTTTCAAAAGCAAGTTACAAAGTGCTTTAACAACAATAATACCCAAAAGACAATAATACAAAAACAATACAAGATAAAAGCAAGAAAACATTGAAAAGACTAAATTACACATTTAAGATAAATATAAAATTAGTAAAATAGAATAAAATAAAAGGGATAAAATAAAGTCAAATAAGATCGGGAAAGGCTCTCCTATAAAAGTATGTTTTAAGAAGGGACTTAAAAGAGTTCACTGACTCAGCCGACCTGATTTCCTCGGGCAGGCTGTTCCAGAGCCTCGGGGCCCTGACAGCAAACGCTCTGTCCCCTTTAGTTTTCAGTCGAGACTCTGGAACAGACAACAGACCTCTGCCCGAGGATCTCAAGGTACGTGCTGGTGTGTATGGGACTAAAAGTTCAGAAATATAACAATAAGATAAAAGATAAATAATAAGATAATAAGATAAAAACAATTCACAGTCATCATTACTTCCAGCTGAGGCACAAGGAGGGGTTGGGTTTAGCAGCTGATCCACAGTCTTAAACAGAAACCTGGGATTGTGTTTATGTGTAGTAATGAGTTCAGAAAAATAGTGTGTTCTCGCATCCTTAACCATGTTATTGTAGTTAATTAATAAATCCTTCAGACTGAGGTAATGGACTTGGAGACTGGATTTTTTCCATCTGCGCTCTGCTTTCCTGCATTCCCTTTTGAGGCTGCGAATGCTGTCATTTATCCAGGGTTGCTTACTAGCTTTAGACGTAGGCCTAACCTTTAGAGGAGCAGTAATATTTAGTGATGACAAGCAGTTATGATTGAAGTGATCGACCAGATTGTTGGTGTTGGAATCAGACAGGTGTTGGCTTTGGCTCTGAAAGAATGCGCAAAACTTTGAAACACTTTGTTCATTAAAGATGCGAGAACACACGGAGCTTGGTGAGGCGGCGTGAGTAACAGGCGAATCGCAGCTAAAAACAATACATCTGTGGTCAGATATGGTCATGTCCACTAATTCCACAGAGGAAATGCTGACACCCAGGGTAAAAACCAAGTCCAGTGTATGACCACGGTTATGTGTTTGCCCTTTGACATGTTGTTTGAAGTTAAAAGAAGTGGCCATATTTAAAAAGTCAGTTGCATTAACATTGTTGGGGTCATCAACATGAATATTAAAATCGCCACAAAGAACAATTCTGTCATAATTTAAAACCAGAGTAGATAAAAATTCAGGAAGTTCTGATAAAAATCCTCCAGGTAGTTTTGGGGGGGCGATAAATTATAACAAATATGATAGGTTGCAGCCCTCCAACTTTAAGAGTGAGAACTTCAAAGGAGTTAAATTCACCACAGCGTACTTGATGACATTTAAAATTTTTCCTATACACGCTCACTAGCCACCACCACGACCACTGACCCTCGGTTGACTAAAACAATCATATTGAGGCGGACACAGTTCAGCTAGCTGGCTATAGTCATTCATTTGCAACCAGGATTCAGTTAAAAACATAAAATCTAGATTTGCAGACAAGATAAAATCATTTAAGATAAAAGTCTTACTTGAAAGTGATCTCACATTGAAGAGAGCCATTTTAAATGAGTTTGTTCTGGGTGCTGGAGTTGGTGCAGTTGTCCTAATCCTTAAGAGATTTCTATTATTTCTGTGCGGGATGTGCACATTTCGGTTTACTGGTCTATGCCTGATGATGACAGGAATAGAAGTCTGTGGAACAGCGCTGGGAGCAGACGGCTTTACATGCCAGCAGGTGGAGACAGTTGTTTGTGGCAGTGAGGCAGAAATCTGTTCAGTGACCGGTGGTGTGTCCAGGTGTGCTGCATGAATGATTAATCATTCACATAGTAGTAGTAGCAGAGAAATTTCACTCTTTACCAAAGTAGTGAAACCACCAACTGACTGATAACCATGCTAGCTAAGGATGGCAAAGAATATTGAAATCTAATTGGCAGATTTAAAATTTACAGAGCACCTTCTTGCTGAACAGAGAATGAATCTTTTTCATTTTGGAAACTCCATGAGCTGTCCCTCATAGTCACCGTCAAGCCAAAATGAAAAACTGTAAGACTGTCTTCACATTTGATGAGCACATTCATTCTCCAAAGAGGATAAACCCTCTTTCTAATGACTCCATGGACTTTATGTTGGTCAGCCTCATTCGGAGAGCCAGCGATGTTAGCTTTACACTGATGCTTTAAGTGTCCTTGAGCAAGTCCTCACAGGGAGTCAAATGTATCAGTTGCCTGTGTATTTGTTTCACATCACAAAATATACTGATGACTCTCTGCTTTACATAAGTGCTAAAACAGCTCTAAACCATAGACTCAGCCTAATGTGGGTTTGGATCCTGTCATACAGTTTCCTTTCAAAATGAGATGGCCTATCTTAGAAAAATAAATGATGTACTACTGTTTGCTGACATGAAGCTTATTGCCAGTAAACCTACCATTAACAGGGTTATGAGTCATCTGTGGTCTTTTGCTTTTAAAATAGTTACGTTTCTGAGGATATTATCATCTTAAAATATGAAGTGATTCATTTCAGGAGGCGTTTTTGATGCATAACAGAAGAAAAAACTTTGATGAACTCCAACACTGAGAAGCCTGTACTTGTGTTTTGAAAGGAAAAAAAGTCCTGATTTTAAAAGTTCATATATAGCAGTTTTGCAGTGTACTTTGGCTACAGTTGGACCTCTCAGAAAGCTGTGTAACAGTAACTCTGAGTGCTGAAGAAGAAGGAATAAGGCAGAGTGTTTTGCTATGTTTTTTTGTTTCTGGCTGATTGAACAGATGACACTAGGCTCAGTCTGGCTATAATCGGGTGTATGGTGTATTGTTTATTTTCACCAGCTCTTCATTTATATCATTAGTTCCAAACCTGGTGATCAGGACCCCCCAAGAGGTGGCAAAAATGGGTTATGAGATGATTAACAAAAAAAAAGATTGTCAGAAGTCTTCCCCTTCATACAGCATTTTTTTCTTCTTCAGAGTCTCCAGGATTCTTAATATAAATTAAATAATAATAATAATAATAAAATATTCAAATGCTGTGAGAAAGCAACATCACTCTTGTCACACAAGTCATTGAAATATGCAACCTGTGATTTGTCATCATGAGTAGGCACTGCTTAGCAAGTTAAAAGGGTTGTCAATATATGCTCTTTACTGCGATTTTCAGTCTTTCCGTTTTTTCGCCACTTTTGTCAGCACTGTTCAATCTTGTGAAATTGATCATAATGAAGAAATGGCTCAGACTAGAAGTTTTATTACTGGGTATCCTAAATATATTTTAAAGAATGAAATAGAACAATAATCAATAATAACCCCACAATTGTTCAGCATGTAGACCTAAAAAAAGACTTGTGTTGGTAAATGAAACAAGACTAAAATTCTTTAGCATGGTAATCTGCGAGACTGTATGTTGATTGTCAGGGCCTGACTGATTGTTGGCATGCTGTGTTAACGTTAATCACAAAGTAGGCTAGAGCTAACTGGCTGAGGGAAACTTGGTCATTAGTTTTAGCGGCACCTTGTCAAGTAGCCTAAGTGGAAAACAATTGCTGATACGGAAAAGTCAGGAGACCATCAGATCATCTGGATTTATCTCCTGTGGACCATGAATGTCAACCAAATTTTACAACAACCATAATATATAACATTCAGTTGAGTATCTATGTCCCACATTATGTTTAACTTATAACCTCAAAGAAATCAGAAAATAACCGGAAGTGTACTTCAATACTTTAATGTTGTAGTTTATTTTGAAAGGCATGCCAGGAAGTCCTATCATTTGATTCCGTGTAGCTTGACACATGTGGCAATTTGTGGGCAGAACTGCGACAAAGTCAAATATATCCTATAAGCAGCGGCTTCTTGCACAGAAAATGAGAGGAAATCAGTATTGAGTTATTTGAAAGAGATGAGATTCTAAAAAGTTGTTAGGAATATGCTGGCATCATGAAATTATTGTGATGAACAGACTTTAGTAATACTTGAATTGGGCTAATGAGGAACACCGATGTGAACATTATAAAGAAGGAAGACGGAGAGGTGATGGAGGAGCCGCCACGATATTAGGCCAAAACAAATGAACATTAGGATTTTATATGAGGGGAACAAGAACGTGGTTTAATTTTTTATGGAATCTAAATAACTTTCCACCATGCATAAAAGATGGATACGTCGGAGTTTGCCTGTATTGGTTTTTACCTTCATCATCGTCCTCTACCTGGATTTTCAATTTCGCAGCCTTCCCAAACACAATTTGGTTCACGATCCATCACCCGACGCGTTTCCGATATGCAGGCTGACGGCCATGGACGCACAGAACCCGGCTTGCAACAGCAGCAGGAACAGAGGACACCCGGCCTCTGAAGATGGACATGTCACCCAGACCAAGCTGAAGTTGGAGGACATCTTCGTTGCTGTGAAGACCACCGGGAGGTTCCACAAGACGCGCCTTGCGCTCCTTTTGGAGACGTGGATCTCCAGAACCAAGGCGCACGTGAGTGTCTGTGCTATTATGGGTTGCTGTGAAAATTCATACATTTTAGATAGGCAGATGTTGCTCTCACCCACCTGCACTAGTACTCGGTGGAGTAGTGTCACATCGTCAGTAGAACTCCATCAGAAGCTTTATTACATTTGGCTAATTCTGCGCCAACAAAGTGGACTGTTGCTCTCTCCATGTCCATACAATGGTCATAATAGAAAAAAGTCCTGAGAAAAGAGGAGCTAATAAAGTTGATAGAATGACCTTTATTAATGCATTTCAACCATCTAAAAGAGGTCGAATGTACACGTTTATATGTCTTAATCACAGCAAACATTCTCAGAGATTTAAACTCCTAAACTCGTTTGAAGTCATCAGATTATGTATTTATTTATTTATTTAATCTTTTGGCCTATAATCAGACATGTGTCATAAGCCTAATGATGAAATGAAAGCATTCACTTCCTTCCTGCTTTGAAGCTGCAGGTCTGATGACTGACTTGTCTGATTAAGGTTAAGTTTAGTTCCAGAGTGATTTTGTTGGTCAGTTTACTGGCAACTGATGTAAAAAGGACATTGTGTGTATTTAGTTATTGGTGAATTCAATAGCGTTTTATTTGTATCAAATGCCAGTAGCGTTTTCATGCCACACACACACACACACACACACACACACACACACACACTGTCTGGCATTATACTTGCTTTCTCAGTGAGGCTTTGCCAACTCCAGTTGTATATATGAGTGATGAGTGGCTTGTCAAAACAACACGCAAAGCTTTAACAGGAAGATTTGTTTATCTCAGAGTTCAGCATCCCAAGACTTGATCTGTCCAACCTGGCTGGTACAATCAGATTTGAGTTAATCTTCAGGAGGAATACACGTAAAAGATTCTGAGTTGGTTTTGTTGGCCCAGAAATAGTCAGTGACTTACAGTGTTGACACACAGATACTCATACTGATGCTGATGCAGCACAGGGCTTATTCACTAGAGAACAGTTGACAGTTTCCCTAGAAATGAAACAATGGCTTTTATTTAAATACATAAACATCAATTGCAAAATTGCAAATTGCGACCACTTTGTAACAGACGTGTCTTTAAAATGCGCTCTATGAACACACTTGACTTCATTTGATTCTGTGTTGTGGTCCACGAAACTAAGTTCAGTTCTGTTTTTGAAATAAGGGAAACAGATGAGCAATGACATCTTGAGGGGAAGTTTTCATCTTTCAGCTTCTTGTTTTCTGTCTCACAGCACAGAACGAACTGCTGATTTAAGTAAGAGACATTATTTTAACATTGAGAGAGGACGATACAGATCGTGTCTTCCTCTTTTCAAAGCACAAAATTGTTTAATCTTTGCTTTGGCCAAGTGATGTATTTGAGAATATATACATCCACACAAAAACCTATGCACTTATATACATAGGCACATGAACACACAAAGATGCAAGTGTAGAGGCAGTAATACAAGAAAACACACACACACACACACACACAGGAAGCTGTGCAGGCAGGTTGTCTGGGTCGAGGGGAAGCAGCCATCGTGTAGCAACTCTGTTAACAATGCTAAAACGGAAGCTGGTCATAGAACAGGAAGTGTAGAGGCAGAACAGAACGAACCTCATCTTACCTCCACCCTCATACACACAAACATGCACACACGCGCACACACACAAACATGCACACACACACACACACACACACACACTCACAAAAAACCACACACACACATACCACAATACTGTCCATTAAAAAAGGTGACAAGTAAATTCTAACAGGCTTAGCAGCTACTGTCATTAAATAGTTGATTGACTGTCCGGAAACAGGAGTGTTGCAACAGACATTTGCTCATTAGCAGTGCACAAAACACAAAGTACTGCTGGGGCTGAGGGGATTACAATACATTTTGCAGGTATTTGGTCATGAACCAAATATTGGAAAAACTGAAATTTCACCTTGATGGTGGCACTAGATGCAATGTCACCAAGGTCATTAGGATTCATCATCCAGGAACCATGAATGCCCGAGCAAAGTTTTGTTCCAATCCATCTTGTTGAGATATCACGGGATAAGTGAAAGCTTTGATCTGGTGAGGAAAGGTTAAGGGATCACGTCAGGATTCATCCTCTTGGCACTAGGGGTGAGTGATGTGGCCACCATCTTCAACCATGCTTTATGTAATAATTTAATATCACTTATCTTATTAAACAGTCTGTTCTGGCTGTTGGTATTCAGTGCTACTGCTCTACTAGCTGCATTGTCTTATGAAATGTTGTCAGACGTTAATGTTGAAGAGTTGCAGTGTTTGGCCTCAGAACACCAACACCGCTGATGCAGTTATTTATTGGGTATGAAAGCCTATTATAAAAAAGCTTGTATCAACACTTGTCAGTGTTGGTAAGTGACTTTTGGGGAGAAGCTCCCAGTTATCAGTCCATGTAAGTGCATTTTGTTTTCTATATAGTATAACAAAATTACGACCAAACATCTTTTTTGTCAACTTTTTAAATGAGTGTATGACCAATTGAGATTAAATTCAGTACCAAAAAAAAGAAATTGTATTTAAAGGTTAAGTGTGTAATATGTAGGAGGATCTATTGACAGAAATGCAATATAATATATATAACTATGTTTCCAGTGTTGTATAAAGACCTTACATAATGAACCGTTATGTTATTACCTTAGAATGAGCCATTTCTATCCACATTACATGGAAGATGCCATGATGCACTGAATGTTTCTATAGTAACCCAGACTGACAAACTGAACTACAGGGCGCCATTACGTTGAATAGGTACAAAGAAGGAGTAAGAAGAAAAAGAAGTTTTAGTAGTACTATAGTAGTAGTCGTCTGGTTTATTAGAAGTATGAAGAGAAGTGAAATTTGGAATAGATAGAGGACCACACATATTATTTAGCACACGAGCCGACTGAGCATGTCGGCCACCGTACTTTTCCTACGCACTTGCAAAGGGAGGGGTGAGCGGTGTGTCAACCACTACCTGCCACTAAAGCCTACACACTGAACATTTAATTTAATTATGGATGAAAATATGAGGAATGGAAAACAATGCAGGTGGGGAAAAAATAGATTTCGCAAATTTAATTTACTCTGAATATGAATGCATATTCTCATTTTCTACAAGTATTCCTTTAAAGCTCTGGAGTCTTTTAAGCCAATAAATCTCTTTATTGATATAACCATATTGAAATACATTGCAGTCATTTTGTGCTATGGGGCAGTACAAATCTTACTTAATGGCCCTCAAACAGCACGAAAAACATGCTGAGATTTATGCATGTCTGCCCGACCTCAGTCAGCTGTCCTCTCAAACTCTGTTTACGAGCCGTACCATGCTTACAGGCTGCCACTTTTGTTCCTCAGCCCAGGTTGACTGATTCTAGCGCAGGTAGTTTAGTTTGAGTTATGACCAGAGGAGAGAGAAACTAAATGTAATGGTGGCCCTTTCTCATGGGGTTTTACAGGGGTAGATGGTGGTGGCTGTCTTGGTGATAGTGGTGAGGAGGATTGATCCAGATATCTCATTACTCCTCCTCCTCATCCTGCTCCAGTGATGGAGGAATGAGAGGGAGGGATAGCCAAAGGTAAAGAAAATTACCTTTGGGAGAACAAGTGAGGGAGGGAAAAGCTTGATCGGTCTTAAAATGAACATGGGAAGATTTAAACCTTTCTTATAGAGAGAGAGAATATTACAGAGATTAGTGACTTTAATGTACACACACACACACACACACACACACACACAGAGTGAGGAACAGAGTGAGGAACACTGATGCACACACAGCTTTGCACACTCATCACCAGGGGCGTTTTTAGGATCTTCAAACATTGGGGGCTTAGCCCAGCCCATAAAACTTCATATCTTCACATAATAATTGACCCCCCCACCCCAACGTTTAGTCTGTAAAGCAGTAAAGCAACAGTAAACATCCTCTACTTATACGGCACAACAAAACTCACAACAACACTATTAACTGTCTCATTTTGATGTTGCCAAATTGTAATGTCATGTGTCTAATTATAATAATATTACAACCAAACTGCGACAGTATGAACAGGGGGGTCTGAGGTTACCCCCAGTGAGTGAGTGTTAAACACTTAATTTCCTGCATTCTGGTGTTTTTCTGCACCAACTTTTAATGTCATCACTGCTGAATCAACACACACGCAGGCCTGACTGATTGAGGCAACCTCTTTAAATGTGCATGTGGCACCTTTTTACCTCATCAATAATAAATTAAATCAGTTTTAATTCAGTTATAAACTCCTGGACTTTAATAGCTCCTGTGTTTCAGCAGGTTTTCTGCTCATATTCAAAGTTCTGCACATTCAGAATCTAACTGGGTTCTCTGACATTTCCAGAATTTCCAGAATAAAGGATATTTTGAGAGGTCAAACAGATTAAATCATGATAAACTTTGCAATCAGTCCACGGTCCACCTGCGTGACGCACCGTGTGGAAGGGATCCATACTACGGATTCTGCAACCCGTTGCACCACTACTATCCATGGTAGTGTGGGGATTTAATTCTTGCATGTTTAGTTGTGCAGGATCACAGCCCCTATGTGTCCACATGAGGAACGGTCAAGATGGGCTATCAGAGTAAAAATGGACTGTCTATTGCATTAGACTAGGCAACTTGATGAGTTTATTTTTTTAAGTAGCCCATTAAAATATTCCTGCAAATGCAGTGAAGAAGCTGATTATCTGTAATTTGGCTATTTCTACGATTCTATTTCTACAATTATTTTCCTTTTTAAATCTCCATGAAGGTGTTTATAAGATCACTTTAAAATATCACTTTTGCTGCAGCCAACTTTTGTTACCTGTGCCTTTTATTATGGAGATGTAGCCAACCAAACCGCTTGCTTTGCAGTAGCACAGGCTGCCAATACAATCTGATTATTCCTGAAGCATATAAATAATCTTCACAATGCAAAGAATTATTGTGGAAGTAACAGGAGAGCAGCTCGTTGTTGAAGCA